ATCCTGCGCTGAAGTCGTCAGCCGGGAAACATTGCTACACGAACCCTATACAATTCTATGGGGCTCTGCTATGCAATTGTGGCCTGCAGATAGAAGACTTCAGCATGGGATGTAAACAAACACGGGAGGCCCTGGGCGGCGGGCATCAATAAGGGCCTCTGTGGAGGGGGAGGGTGGGATGTATTAGGAAGGGGGGGTAATAAGATTAATGGAGAATCTAGTGTACACATGTAAACAAGTCATAGGAAAGAATCCTTTTACCTCCCACATTTTACTGTAATAGGGTCCTTTTAAGCCATTAATGAAACTTTTTGATCTGCTCTTCCACACTGCATCTGTCTGCAAATACCGAGCGCCCTTTATTCGCTGCAAAAGAGCTCTACAAACACCTTTGTTGTGAGTTTGGAAGTGCTGTCCTGTTTGACATTGCTGCATACAGAATGCTTTTTACATCAATATTGCTGCTTTGCTTTTAAAGGCTTTTATTGACATTTGCAGTGCACTTTGATGGTGAATATTTGTTTGTAATGGATCTATTAAAAATCTGCTTCGTTTGTAATCTAGCACAGAGAAGTGAACCACAGCTGCAGTGCAATGCTTGTTGAAAGGGAACCTATACTTAAATGTTCATTATCGCAATTTAACATGACTAAGCAAATCAGTAAAAGAAATATGATTCCCAATTAGAAGTGGCACTTCAACATGTAAACAGTGCCTAGACACCCTCTGTTCTTGCAGCCTCACAGGTGCCTTTCAGAACTTTGACATCATCGAGGTATATCCTGCTTCTGGTTACTGGATGACATGGATGCTGCTATCAGGGTGGTGGAGTCTCAGTGCGGGGAGATGTACTATATGGCCAAATCTTTGTAGATACCTGACCATCACACCAATATGAGTGTGTTGGATATCCCATTAACCCCTTCATGACTGAGGCCTTTTTTTCATTTTTTGCACCCATGTTATATTCCACATTTTATGGTAACGTGTACCCATTCAGCCAAAGAACATGCGTGAAGTCAGGTACTGATTTTGGCAAGAAGACTGGCTCTCAGTTGGTGCTCCAATTCATCCCAAAGGTGTTCAGTTGGGGCTCTGTGAAGGCCACTCGGGTTCCACCACACCCAACTCCTCAAACCATGTTGTTTTGTCCCTGTTGAGAACCTTCAATCCTTTGTTTTGACCATTTTCAGAAAGTGATGGGAGATTAAACCCGAAACTGTGATTCATAGCCCCGGAAGTTCAATAATTACTGTAGCTACGGATGAATGAAAGTATGAGTTGTACATAATGCTGCAGCATCCACACATGGAACACCCATCATTAGAGGGGATTTATTGCTGCATAGCAAATGTAAAAAAAAAAGAAAAAGATGTTTCCTGGAGTTCTGCCTTAAGCTCCCTTCCATATTCCTATTGGGCCATCACTGGTATGGGCAACCCTCACTGGCCAATAGGAGTGTGCAGAAGGTAGCAAGGGTCAGGCACGCTTTGGCATTATTGGAAAATGCAGAAACATTGTCTGTCAGACCAATATGTAACCATGATCTAAAAGAGGCCTAAAAAGCATAGTCAGCAGAGAGATTAAATGGTTATGGTGCAACATGGGGCGTCTTTTTGAGATGGATACATACAGGCCCTCTCGCTGTAGTTTATCAATGAGCCTTTAGAACATAGACTTATCAGTAAAGTTACCATAAAGAGTACCTGTTATATCTCTGGTTATACAGGAATGGGTCAACATTTCCTTCTTGCAGCTAAAACAAAGTCAAGCTAGGCTCAGATGTGGGCGATCCCACGTGTCCCGGGACCTTGCGATTGTCACGTGGCCCCATTGATGAGGTTACATGTTGCACGGCAATCGCTTAACAAAAGGTACAAGTAACTTTTTGGTGGGACACACGACACCTGGCTTTTTTTTTCGTTTTAGCCGCTATCATGTTCAATTGCATGGGCAGGATCCTGACAGGAAACCACGCGATCCACCTGGTGTGACCGGGGTGCCATTAGAAAAAAATTGGCACCGCTAGCACGATCGGCAGTGGTGGGCGATTCCATGACCGCGTGACTATCCGCGTGGTTTTGTGAACGATTGCTGCGCGTTCGCGGATCGCCCAGGTGTGAAACTGGCATCCTTGGGGAAAAATGGTTCACTGATCTGTTTTGACAAGCGGGGAAGTGAAGCAATGAACGTACTCCAGCGCTATAGCTGGCTGTGTTTTCGTACCCGCAGTTCTACAGAATGTCAATATTTACAGACGTTTACTTCTACAAAACAGTATTGACAAGCTTTGGGGAATGTTTATAAAACAGTTGATCCGACATTCACTGCAGGTACATTTTTCTGGTGCAAGTGTTTTTACATGACCGTGATTGATTCTCTGCCATTGAATGTTTGGTGACGGTCACATCCACTGCTTTATAAATATGCCCCTTTGTATTTATTTGGGGGGAGGGGGGGGGGTTCTTTTTAAGATAATTCAAAAATACCATTCAGCCTTTGTACACATGACGGTATTTTTGTTTCAGTTTAAACCCAGTTTAACATATTGCAGCTTCCTGGTCCTTCCATGTGATCGGTGTATTGGTTTTCTTTTTTCAAGCTTTTTTCCCTTTATTTTTGATCCTGCCAGTAACACACTTCCTAGCCTAGAATGGCAACACTATCAGGGCTATTCACTCAGGCCTTGTTCACACCATATGCAGAGCAGATCTGCATGAGTTTCTGCACACGCAGTGCAGTGGGTTGTGCCGCGTTTTTGATGCGTTCCGGGCCGTTTTTGGTAAAAAAAAACCGCTTGTTGTGAACAAGGCCTAAAGGGTGAAGAGTTTGGAGAAGGCAGGTGGAGAATCTTGGCCAACATAGCTGATTGACAAATAAATCTCCATTTCAGCACGCTTTCCATTTCCGCTATGTTGTCCTAGAATGTTCACTTCTCCAAACTCTTCACCCTTTAGTGAATAGTCCAATCACTTTCTGTGCTGTATATATAGGGGAGCAGCATTGTCAACCTAGGCTACAGTACAGAATGCCTCCCCCCTCTTCTTATCTCAGTAACATGAGGGGGTGTTCTGTAGTCCACAGAGGAAAACTGGGCACTGCTTGAGATTTCAGTGCTGCAGAGAGCACGGGAAGATACATAACATGTTGAAATGTCCACTGTGGAACGGCTGAGAAAAACCTGGAATAAGCCATCTTACCTGCTTTCACAAAACATCTAAAAGGTAAGAATTTTTTTAAAAGGTATTTTTTTAGTATGTTGTGTGAGTAGGAACAAATAACAAACATATGGAGGGTTTTCTCAAAGTGGAAATGCACTTTAAAGTTGTTGTTTTTTTCCATTTTTTTATAAAGCCATAGTTCAAGAAGAAAAGCCCATCCCCCAGCCTGCTTGCTGGAGAGAAGCACCTCTCTCGATCTCCCAACATGCCCAGGTTAAAAAAATTGCGTGCGTCCGTGAAACTGACAGAATTCGGTACCCCAAAAGGTCCATAGACGAAGCTTTAAACACTCCTACAGGTCATCAGTTTAGAGATATATGCGTGAATATTGGCCCTAGAATTATTGCTCTCACTCTGGCGTGTGCAGCGATACCCAACATGTGTAGCGCATTCATCGTTTTCGTACGTAAGGTGCATCCGACGCATGTTTACATGACGACGTGCGTGCTCGTGGGGGCGGGAGACTTTAAAAAAATGCTTTTTATTATTTTTACATTTTATTTTGTATTTTTAAAACTGTTTTTTTAACTTTACTTTTTATTGCTATCACATGGGGCGGGCTTACAAGCCCCCCATGCGATAGCATATTGGTAGTGACAGGTACTCTTTAGGGTGATACTGGAGGTCCAAAAGTCACTGGGAGTCTGTTTTAACCCCTTGAGGATCCATGACGGAATTATCCCGTCATGGGTTTGTGAAGGATTTAAAGGGGCACGATTCCCAGCATGGAGCACTTCAGGGCTTCCAGCTCCTCCAGTGGAGGTTTGCAGTCTGCTTTTCCTTGGCTAGCTTCATGATAAAGGATATCAGTGGGAGACCTCAGCAAAACATTTACACAGCTGCAGATTTTGTAAGATTTTTGTCACCCGAGCCGGAGTTATTATCTCACTAAAGAGCCTCTGTAATTAGTTCAGATATATATTTTTTTTGCATTGTTGTCTGCTCTGGTGCGCAATAGTTTCTTGACATTGGGCTTGCTGCAGTTCTGAAAACATGAATCCATGCCCTTTATCCT